TCTAAGTAGATCCTTGAAACCGTGGATAGTATTGAGCCCTGTGTATGCTATGTCTTCTCCTATAACCATACTGATAATAAAATTTATAAATTAGTCACAGTAAGAGATTAGCAACAATAGCTAATAATAAAATAGAACAATTATAGCAATGTGGTGTAATAAAAATTATGTGAAAGTGATCTCTCTCTGTCTCTCAGTATCTTACTGTACTCTACTCCTCCTTCTTGTGATCTGTTGATCTGATAACTGAGTTGGCTATAAGTGACTAACAGCTGAGTATATATAGCATGGATGGGCTGGACGAAGGGACAATTTATGTCCTGGGCTGGATGGAGTAGGACAGCATGAAATTTCATCACACTATTCAGAACAATGCACAGTTTAACACTTATGAATTGTTTATTTCTGGAATTTTCCATTTAATATTTCTGAACCATGATTAAGCATGGTAACTGAAACTATGGAAAGTGAAACCATGAATGGGGGGGGGGACTGCAGTATCCCCTTCCCCAGAAGTATGCTCCTGCTGCCAGACTGTTCATAGCCATGTTCCATTCAGCAGAAGGTTTCAATCCTATTTCATGGAGAAAAGACAGGCCATTTTCTGGGACTCTCTCAACCTTCCACCATCTCATCTTTGAATTCTTCTGTATGTCTGTTCATCATTTTATCTTTCTTTCCTCTCGTAATTGTGTCTCATGTCTAGGGTGAATCCTTCCATATAGTCTCTGGATTCCATCTCCCCCTTTTCCTTCTGAGACTGAAAGCACAGATAGTGAGAATAAGATGGAGTCTGTCAGGCTAGGGGAGACATGGCACAGCTGGTCTGGTCGGTGTAGGTCCTGCCTGACTTTTACCTCCTATCTCCCATTCTTACTGTTTTGTAAATTTAGGTCACACCCTAAAGATGCCTATCTTGAGTAGTTTAGGTGGATTAATTTAGGAGATTAACTTTTTGAATTGAAATGCTATAATGGGTCACTGAGTTATGCTAATTATTATTTAGAATAGGGGCTGGTGTGGTCTTTGCTTTGAACTTTTATGTATAAAACCGTAATTTCGGAAATGGAAGAACAGAATAGTCTTGGAGAGGCTACTCTCACTGTTCTCCAGAATCCCAACCTTCTGACAAATAAAGTTTGGTGGAACTGTCCGTGTTTCTGCATATTGGCTGACAGTGACAGGAGGCCAGACCCTCTTTATTCAGTAACAAGACCATTCATGGCTTTCTCTCCCCCATATTTTTAACCTCATCCTTTCCACTGGTATTCAAATCTCTCACATGTTCAGCAACAAGAAAAACAGAAACAACAACAAACATATGCACAAAAGCCAACCCCCAGACCTTCAGATCCGTCCTTTACCTTGTTCACTTCTCTCCTATCTTTGTTTTCTCTCTCATAGACAAACTCCTTGACTAGCTCGTCTGGACTTGCTAACTCCACTGCCCATGAACTCCTCACCCCACTACATCTGGCTTCTGTCCCCAGTCCTTTTCCTCTTCCAACATTCCCAGTCTTTTTGAGTGGGAACAGCATCTACCAAATTGCCCACCCATTTCTGAAGCCTAGGAGTTGATTTACCTCTCCCCACTTTCCTCTTCCCCCGACATAAAATGGATCTCCTGCTTCCATTGGTTTCAAATCTATCCACCTACTTTGTTCCAGCCCCCATTTCCCTTCTCTAATTGGAGAAGATATTGTTTCTCTTTCTATGTGAAGGTGATGGGCCCATGTATGTGTGTCGCTACATGATGAGGTCATAAAGACTTAGGGGTGCTGGTGACTGCAAAGGCCAAAGATTTAGGCCCTGTAGATTTTCTTGTCATTGTAATACTCTCCTATATAGGCTTTCTGTTTGAAATGGTGACTTCTGGATCTCTCAGTTGGTTCCCTTCTACTTCCCTGGCATATTCCTCTGATTATATTTTTAGGGGGGGCACCCATGTCACTCCTATAAGTTCTGAGCTGTCAACTGTAATTTTAGTGCTGCAGTCAGATCTGGGTTCTGAGCCTTAGTAGCTATATGAGCTTGAGCAGATCATAAACTCTCCTGACTCTTAATTTCCTCATCTGTCAAATAAATGGCTTCCCCTAGATTGGTGGATCTCAAATCTGGCTGCACATTAGAGTCACCTGGGAAACTTTTAGACCTCCCTGTGCCCAGGCTGGACCTTAGACCAATGACATCAGTATCTTAATGCCCAGGCCTCAGGATTGAAACTTTTTTTAATTTAAAAATTAGTTTGCCAGGAATTTTTTGGTAAGTTTCCTGAAAGATCTCAATGGGCAAACAAGATTGAGAGCCGCTGACTTAATGATTTTTAAAGGACCTTTGCTATTACATCAGTTTATGTTTTGAACACGTCCTAATCCCAAGTTGAAGTTTCTCTTCTTTTAATGTTTTACTAAGTTGGGAAGAAATAGCTGTGAAGCTCCCCCCACCCCCTTCCATCTGCTGTTTGTTCTTATTTACATACGATGGAACTTAGCCCACTGATTTACAGCTCTGGTTCCCTTACAACTGTTATTGAACTGAAAACATAGTTGAAACTTATTAAACAGAAAAAAAAATTATTTTGAGCTCTGTGCTGACAATTCATTACAGAACCAAGGGAACATTTAAACTTTGTTCCTTCTAGAATCAACATTAATGATTGATTTACAATCCCATAATCTTAAGTGAAGAAGTTAATTGTGGGGCCAAACTCAGTATTTATCGTTTCTTGGGTGTCCTATTGAGAACTCAAAGCATCGCTGCAGGAGAAAGGGATTTCGAGTGGTTTGCACCCATAAATAGACAGCACCTCCTCCCACTGTTACGGGTGGAGGCATTAAGTGTCATCCTCTTTTCCTTCAGTCCTCACTCTTCTGGCTCTCAGACACAGACAGCAAAGCCGGGACATACCTGTCCTCACTGTGGGCGTGGCTGTACTATCCAAATGCTTTGGAACAGGGCTTTCAGAAAACACCCTTTCTGCAGCAGACCCAGTTAGAACTACCACTTTAGATGTGAAATAGCTGTTTTTTCCTGAGCTGCCAAGGAGTAGAGAGATGAGCAGGAAGAAATAATACAGAGCAGCCGAACATTTGGTCTCACCAGTGGCACTGAACTTAGAAAGAATGGGTGTCCTGACGCAAGTCTGATTTCTGGTGGTGAAGTGTCCTTTGGGGTTGCCGGCTCTCCCTCCTGTTTCTCTCTTACCAGTATCTCTTTCAAATATGTGTTCACTGTCTTCAGCCTCTTTGGAAGAGACAATGCAGGTCTCTGCCTGGCTCTCTCAGTCCCTTATTAAATGACTGAAATTAGTTGCTACCTTGATAAGGGTGAAGTAATTCAGTAGCTATAGACAGGTAAGTTACTAGTTTGTCATAACCGTCTGCACATTTCTCTCTATTTATTTGCTTATTTTAATTTGTTTCACTTAAAATCAATCTTTTCTTTCATAACATACGTTTACTTCTTGGCTTCATTTACATTTTATTTATTTATTTTTTATTGGTTCGGGTTCATTGAGGGTACAGAGAATTAGGTGACACTGCCTGCATTTGTTAGGTAAAGTCCCTCTTATAGTTGTGTCCCACTCCCAAGCAGTGCACCATATACTGTCACCCCCATCCTACTCCTTCCCCTCGTCACCCCCTTCTCTTGTTCCCTCAGCCCCCACTTTGAATTGATTTGAGTTTTCCTCTTGTGTGGGCACGTATTAGACTGTCTACTGGCTTCATATTAAAATTGAGTACATTGGATTCTTGCTTCTCCAGTCTTATGATGATTTACTAAGAAGAACGTGTTCCAACTCTATCTAGGTTAATACAAAAGACGTAAAGTCTCCATCTTTTTAAATGGTGTATTCCATGGTGTACGTATACTTGTAGCTTGTTAATCCATTCTTGGGTTGGTAGGCATATAGGTTGTTTCCACATCTTGGCAATTGTAAATTGAGCTGCAATAAACAGTCTAGTGCAAATATCCTTATGATAATATGATTATTTATTTATTTATTTATTTTTTGAGGCAGAGTCTCACTCTGTGCCCTGGGTGAGTGCTATGGTGTCATAGCTCTCAGCAACCTCAAACTCTTGGGCTCAAGCGATCCTTCTACTTTAGCCTACTGACTAGAGGGGACTATAGTTGCCTACCACAATGCTGGGCTAGTTTTTCTATTTTTAGTAGAGATGGTGTCTCATTCATGCTCAGGCTGGTCTCGAACTCTTGAGCTTAAGCAATCGATCCACCTTGGCCTCCTAGAGTGCTCTAGGATTATAGGCCTAGGCCACTGTACCTGGTCCTCATGTATTTATTTTATATCTAGGCTATCAAATTATTCCCATGGAAAGGTTATATTTTTGTGGTAGGAAAATAAATTTTGCTGGAGTTTGGAGTTGAGCTGAAAGAACAACTTTCTCACCATGCTGAGCATTTCTCATGCAAGCCGATTTTGGCCCAGAAGAAAACACTGCGCCCTCAGGGCGCAAGAGCCACTTTACCCTCAGGGCATAAGAGCCATCACACCCTCAGGGCATTGGATGCACCACACCTTCAGGACTCTACAGGCATCACGCCCTCAGGGTGCAAGTGCCACGGTACCCTCAGGGCACTAGAGGAGAATGGAAGAAAAAGTATCCAATGTACACAGCCCTGATTTGAAACTAATTTATAGCTTTCATAGGAAAGATATAACCTAATTATAGCCTTAGAATATGGGGAGGGGAGGATTTTGGAAGGGGAGAAGGTGGATGAATCTTTCTAAAAGCAGAGTATGAATTTCTTAATAACTAAGAAAATGACATGAAGGCTATGTTAACCAGTTTGATGAGAGTATTTCAAATTTTATATGAAAACACCATACCCCGTGTTTTCATATAAATTTTATATGAAATCACTGTCCCCCGTGATTGCATTAATGTACACAGCTATGATTTAATAATAATAAAAAAAAGGAACCTTGTCTGCAGCTTCTCAGCTTTGAAACTGACTCTTTGAATATTTTCTTGTAGATGGAGGAATTGATTGAAGGTGTTCGCTGGGCCTTTATTGACATGCTGGAGAAAGAAAACGAGTGGATGGACACAGAAACAAAAAGAAAAGCCACAGAAAAGGTAAGAATTTATTTTGATTAAAAATATGACTTTTGGTTTAATTGATTTTCATTCTTGACATTGATTGTATATTTGGTTTTTATATTGACTGAGCTGTTGACTCTGAATGACCCCGGGGTTAGGTGTCTGCTTTTAGATGAATATATAGATTTTATCACCAGGAGGTAACATAAAATAAGACTTGACTTTTTCCTTTTTTTTTTTTTTTTACTGTATTTTCAAACCTGTAAATTCAGCTTTTAATTCAGCATTTTCCTCTCCTAATTTCTGTCTGTAAGAGCCAAATGGCTTGCTGCTTGGTGAATTTTGTCATAAGCCATCACTGGGTATGGCAGAATACATAGCATTGGGGAGCCACTGGGAGCTGTTGGCAGAAGAGCCTTCAAGACATAGAGGAGCAGAAAACTTACAGTGGTCATGGGTCCTTCTGTTCTGTACATGATGTGTGCAGAACTTCCTGGGGCAAATTCTTTCTTGTAACCAGACAGCTCTACTTCCTTAATTCATCATTTTGCACAAAATGACCCAAATAACGTGTTTGTGAACTGCAGACCAGTGGTAGACCATTGTGTAAGAGTACAAAACTATTTGCTAAAAGAAGTGGATACTCTGGGCCTTGCAAAATTTTAGGATACTATGCAGCAAGCTAAGGGAATAAATGGAAAACGTATTGGCAGTCATCCTGTTTAGGAAGCAAGAATGGGAGCCATCTTGGATTTGAGGTATTCTGATGGAGCCAGTGCTCAAGTGGGTAGGACATACCTGCTGCACATTAAGGGATGCCACTCTGCAGCTAGGAGACTGAAATTAGGAGCATTTCTTCTTTTGATAGGTATTTTTGAGATCTTTCTGATGATAGCAGTCCCCTGGGTGTCCATCCATGTTCCTGCTTTCTGGACTCCTCACCAGCAAGGTCTGGTTTAGTGCATCAAGGGAAGGGTAGAAGCTGAACATTTGAGATTTAACCAGTCTTTGAGGTGATTGTTACCACTAGGCAGGCCTGGGGAACACGTCATACTGAGCACAAGTATTTTTTGCCTTATGGTCAAGAAACAAAGAGGGTGACATTCTGGGCATGCATAACCTTGTCATAATTAGGACCTGCAGAGTTTCAGCAAGGATATTTTTCTAGAGCTTGAAACTCCTGAGATGGATAAACACTGCCATAGATACTTTTGTCGACAGATGTGAAAAGGCTGTACAGTGTTTGTAGTAAAGAAAGAACTTGAGTGGTGGGTGGGGAGGGAGTGTTGGAGGAAGACAAAGGGTAAGTTTGATTCCCCCCACCTCCTTGAAAACCTGTCAGAGCTGTTTTAAATCATGTAAGGCACGAGCTGATCATGGGCTGTGATGGGAAGCTCTCCAGATGGTAAACAACTTTCAACACCAGCATATTGTTTTTTGAAGGCTTTCATTATTTGCTGAGCTAGCTTGTGATATCTGGAACAGGATGCGTCTTGCACTGGGCAGTGAAAGGCTCAGTGTATTAGGAGCTCTTTATCCTAGCCTGACCCCTCGTGGACTGAAGGGGAGGGTGTATGCATGAATTAGCACTGGGCCACCAGGGTGGAGCGTGTGTAGCCTCTGTGTTAGGAATGGCTGGTACCCCGGGAATGATCTAGGAACTGCAGTCTTCTTTGGGCAGCATGGATTATGTTTGCCTCAGGGAGCTCTTCCGAGTTGCATAAGGGAGTGGGGTACTTTACTGTTGGGCCTTTTATGTAAGTGGCCCATGGGTTCTTCTTGAAGGAAGATTATTCCCGGTCCTTCTAATATTAGACGTGTTCCTGTTTGCCCCCCGAGTTGCTCTCCAATCTTCTATTTTATTTCATTGAGAGCTGTCAGTTTTTCTTCTAAAAGTTCTCTTTGAACACTCTGCTTTCTTTGAGCTGAGCTCAACTTGCCAGGAACTCTGCTAGTTCAACGACAGGTACAGATATCAAAGGCAATTGTTCAACGGTATCTCACTAGGTTCCCCGATATACCTTGTATTTCAGAGTTAATAGCAGTTCCTTTAATGAAAAGCAAGAAAGAGGGACGTTGTCCAAGAATTTCCAGTAGTTCTCTGAGGTGGGTCCTGCCCTGGACCCCAGAAGATGTACATTTCCTTTTTCAAAATCAAACGAACGTGCAGTTCTGGAAATGACCTCTGGGTGGAGCTCGTAGTACTCACAAAGATCACCTAGGGCGCTGAAGACTTTTGCGCAGTTTTCTACTCTGGGGTTTGTTTCTGAAAAATTATTTTTTTTTCTTGCCCTTTTTCTGTGCTGTCCTCAATTTGATTGCCTTTTAATAGTCAACAAGAAGCGAGAAGCTCTGCCTAATAATTCCTTGAATCTTCGATGGAAATCTCTGACTAGCTTAGGGCTTTGTCTTTCTGATACGGGAGTAGCCCCTGCATTAAGAAAGGATTTGCCTGCATTTGAAGTGGAGGTGAATAATTTGCCTGCTCTTCCTGGTATGACTTGGCACTGTTCTTTGGGCATGTGTTGTATGCAGTATATCACCCAGGCGGAAGGTTTCTCATCAATAATAGTGCCCACACTGGGCCAATGCTGAGTCACTTGGCAACCCATTGGGAAGGCTGGAAAAATGTTCTGATTTGCGAGGGCGAGAAGCTTTACTTTTCCTCACCATGAAGCTCCGGACTGCAGCTAATTACAGCACCTCCTAAGCGGTGTAGACCTCAGCACTCCATAGGGACTGACCTGAACCGGACAGGTCCAGGCACCTGCCGTGGTCTGAGGCCGAACGCCTTGGCTTTTGTGGCAGTGACCCCATCTCAAAATGGAAGTGTGTGGATATGCCTTTGTCATGTTCTTTGCAAGGAGCAATCACTGTGAAAGATAAATGAGGATGCCTCTGCTCCCGTGAAGGGTAAATTTGTTATCTCTGTCTCCCTGCCTTTGCCTGCTCATCTCTTAAGAGGTCACCGAGTGATTTTTGCGTTGTGAAACTGACGGTGTGGGATTCAAGTGGACATTTAGTGTTGTGACCATAAGCACCGATTTTGGTTTAGGAGTCTGGTTCCCTGCAAACGTGTGTGCTCTTACTGTAAACAAGCAGCAAAGGACAGGAGGCCTGTTATTCTGGTTATCCTAGCTGTTCAATGAATGCAAAGTGATACAAAATGATTTTAGGGGTGCCTTTGAGAGGATTTGCCCCTTCCAGAACAGCGAAGGGGCATCTCAAGGTCACTACATAACGATGCTGAGGCCTGGAAGGACAGGGACTTAGCACTGCCTTCCCCCACCCTGGCGGGCTCTGTGTCGGGTCATGAGGAGCAGCTCCCTGAATTTGGCCCTTCCCCAGCTGGATTGGCTTGTGTAGCCCAAAGCTGGATCCCTTTGGAAACATTTGTTTGTGCTTTTTGCCCCAGGAACCTAAACTCAGCCATACCCAGAGAAGAATACCAGGATGAGACTCGCAGGGAGGTAGCATCCAAGGCTGTTGTCAGGGAGCGGCCTTAATCTTGGCCACAGCACCGTGCAGAGATGTCTGCTACATGGTCCCAACTCTACTGGGGCAGGTGACGCCCATGCTTTGAGTGATGTGGGAAGGGTTTGCTTGCAGAGGGCAAAGCCGAGGAGTAGCTCACCACCTCTTTGGTGTTGTCTCTCATCCTAGGTATCGGATTTCCCTGAGGTACAGTTTGTATCAGCCAGTCAGGGCAGTGCCAGCAGCACCTGGGAACTTGTTAGACTGCAAATTCCTACCCTGCCCGCCAACTACTGAGCAGTGCAGTGTGTGTATGTGTGGGCGCTCCACAATCTGTGTTTGTCCAGACCCTCCAGCCCTCCAGGTGATTCTGCAGCAGGGTCAAGTTTGGAAACCCCGCCCATGCCCTTCACTGCACACCGGTCTGCCTTCCAACTGCAGGCTTCTGTGGTTTGCCTGAAAACCCGTTTTCTCCACCGGAGGCTGGGTTGCTGCTCACATGGGGGGCCTGAAGTCTGGGGAGTGACCACACCCTCTGCCGCAGATCCAACAATTGACAGGAATTGGTGTGTGCAGCCTCAGCTCCCCCGTCGTTCTAATGTATGTTCCACGTGGGCTCCCAGCAGGCTTGAGCTGCCTGAGCAGATAACCTTGGCTGACTGTTTTCTGTTCTCGCCTCCCTGCCCTGCTCCCCTACCAGTGTTTCTTTGCACCTCCCAAATGAACTGCTTGCACTTGATCCTTGTCTTGGGGTCTGTTTCTGAGGATCCCCAACTAGCACATAGCCCCTGGGGTATGCTCTCGTCCCGTGCTTCCTTGCCTTTAAGGGGACGACACGTTTCACCGCATCCAGATGCCAGCACTACTTTAGCAAACGCAATTCCACAGACATTTCTAGCCCACTAATGACACGCCAGGTGCTGGGCTGGGATTCAGGCTCCGAGATGCAGTCTCTTTTCTGCAGGGACTGTCACACTCCTAGGGGAGCTGGGAGAAGTGTTAATGTGGCCCCAGGAGGCTTCTGAGCAGCTCAGACACACTGTGGGGGCACCTTATGTGGGGACTGCCCTGTCTTCCTCTGCTGTGTTCCCAGATCTTGTCACTGCCTGGGTCCTGTAGCCTACGTTTCCTCTTCCCCACTTGCTAATCCCACCACCACCACATCCATCTGTCACCTCCCCTGGTACGGGTACCTTCACTCTTACTTCATCTCACTATTCATTTTAAATTGTTTTGGAGGAGAAAAGAAAGGGAAGGAGTTTTGTCAGAAGATCTCCTTGCCCTTCCCTGTTACGGATTCTGGTGTATTTGCATAACTACTCACGAATGCAGTCACCTGGCTTCCTGTAGCCACCCCAGGGCTCATCAGGGACACCGACTGACAAGACAGCATGCAAACCACTGGCCCCGGCTCCCTCTCTCCCTCCCTTCCATGTGTTGCCATCCTTAGCTTGCGCCATGTCTCCTAGCCTCTCTCACACACGTCCAGGCCAAGAGCATGCCCTCAACAGGAAGTACAGTGTAGACCAGTGATTTTCAGCTGGTATGCCGTGAAAGGTTTT